TTTCTCCTAACTTCCTCTCCCTTTGCAATGCTGCTGCAGTTTGATCAGCACCTGCAGTGGAGAAAACAGTTTACAGTTGCCTACATGTAAACAGAATTAAAAATCTGACAGGAGTTTTATCCTTTCACTAATCTCCAAAGAGAGATTCCTCTCACTTTCCGCTTACTAAAATGTTGTCACCAAGACAGAAAATTTATCTGATCCCCTGATAGCAGTCAAAACCTGATAATAGTTTCAACTATTCCCTATTCTATAAAAAAAAAGTTTTAGTTTACATGCAGTTTTTTGGTCCTGTATATTTTTCTTCCTGTGAAAAAAAAATATTAGTTAATAATTTTGGGTACAAGTCCAGAATAGGTGAAATGAGCTTCTGCAACCCTCAGAATCCATTTGAAGCCTATTGTACACTTAACCATTCAAAATCACCTTTATTTTGCTTTCCCTATTGACTTCTATAGATTTCAGTGAAATAACAAAATTTCACTGAAATCTCCCCATTTTCCAAATTTTTGCAGAAATGTCAGGGAAATTAATATAGATGAGGTGAATGGGGCCAACACTGGTATTGGACAAAATGTCTTAAAACAGTTTTTAAACCAAAAATGTATTATATTGCAGCTTACCAGTTATTAGATGTGGTGGCTGCATCAGTTTTCTTTTCTTTGGCTTTTTTTTCCCCCCCCTGTTTTCACTTAGTAATCTGTCCGGTAACACACCTCCTGTATTAGTGAGACACCACTCTATTGAAATGAGCACAGGACACAGCAGAATTGTCAGTCTGGGGGGAAGGGAGTGTTAATGTATTAGCAGATTTGAATACAAATAACAGATTGAAGCCAAACTTCAGCTAACACTTTATAGTCTGTTACAGTTTTTTTTCCATTTGGGATAAAGGTTTTACATAAATAAATAAAAGCTGATTCTTTAATCACCCCTGTCAGTGGTAAATGGTTTGCCTCATCCATATTAGCTGATACATTCTGCTGGAGAGCTTGAATTTCTGAAAAGAAGTTCCTGAGTGAATCACAAGATGAAAATTGTAGAAGAAAGGCAAAAAAGGAAACTAATACAGCCATCACATCTAAGAATTGGTGAACTGCAATATAATAAATGTTTGCTTTTCAATTTAATACTGCTTTAAGTATTTGTTCAAACTGCACACATTTCCCTCTATATTTTCTCTAATACTATGACTTCCAATGAATCTCAGCTCCATCTAGTGGCCAAATGCTGTATATTTTCTGAGTTCTGGAGAAGGCAAACCTTTCAGTTGCAGGTCAAACCTCCATTCATAGATCATATTTCATTCACAGCCCTTTAGCTCAGCTTCTGTGAATGGAGTTGCTGGGCAGGAAGGGTGGGCATACTCAGACATGTTTAAAGAGTGCCTGTCACAGCTCCCTCAGTTCTATTAACCCTGCAGCACTGAAAGATTATGGTGGCGGGACTGAGGATGAATATTTCATAGAAATTAGGACCAAGCAGCACAAGGGATGCATTGGATTAATAGAAGGAAATGTACCCTGTGCTGTATTTTGCTTTTTTTATTTTGACTTAACTTTTTTCTTTAGTCCTTTTTAATTTTTAGCACAGTTCAAGCAATATTCCTAAAGTATGAATGTTAGTGATGTGCAGAAATTGTGAACTAATAAAAGATTATAATGCCCAAACAAGTACATTGATTAGTACGTTTGAACAGGAATATAGGAAAACTGGAGAAGATATGTTGAGAAGTAGGAAGAAAGAGGAAATCTTTAAAGATCTAAAGTAGAATGTAATAACCCTAGTCTAAGATTGGCTTTCTTTTATTACAATTTTTACTATACAATATAGGGATTTGGAAAAAATGATGTGCAAACTCTGGACAATTTTGTTAAAGGATAAAGTGTTGGTATCTTTGTCACTAAAAAACCCAAATACTATATGTAAAAAATCTTTTTTTTACCCCCTGCAAGGAAGGCTTTTCATTCCTCTAGGAGATGTACCCCATGTAGTACAATGAAGAACCAATAAAACTGGCAGAGTTTTGATACTAAAAATGTATGTTCTGTTATACACCCATGTAACATACTGTATCTTATAAAATTCCCCCGTGGGCTACAGTACATTGGTCATGCCAAAAGAAAATTATCTGTTAAAATTGGAGAGCATATAAATACTAGAAAAGCTACAATTTATGGGGAAATTGTGTGAAGTGTTCTTGCCTCCACCAGTAGTCTACAACTCACACTCTAGCTTTTGTCATTCTGCTGCCTGCTCACACACCTGGGTTCCTATGGCAACTCACTGTACAGCAAGGGCAGAGAAGAATGGTTAAAAACAAACTGCTCCAACTTGCTCACTTCACTGGCGGTTGCCATCTTCAAACGGTTGTAGTTTAAAAATTATAAATCCTATACACTGAAGAGCTTTATATTGTAAGAATCACAAGACCCAGTCCTACATTTTGATGCATAGTATGTCTCTGAAATATTAAAAATGAAGGCACAGTCGCAGTTTAGAAATTGCCCTTCAAATTTGAGGTGGCTAGAGTGGAGTTTCAAAGAATGTCAATGGGCGGCATGAGTTGCAAACAAATGGTCATATTGTGAAAACTATCAGGACTATGGCTTAGCCGTGGACATTTTTAGTGGCAGCAGGGATAGCTGAACGTTTTGATATAAGCTTTGTGTAGGTGGGCTTGAAAATGAGGGAGTGATGTCAGTTTAGAAATCATGTCCTGATTTTTCAGCTCACACTCTAGCTTTTGTCAGCTCCCACTCTAGTTTTGAACATTCCGCTATTCATTCCTATGGAACCAATTTCACCACAAAAACGCCGATATTTTGTGAACCATTTCGGCGAAACATTCCACAAAGTAATAGCACACCAATCGGGAACAATCCGCACGTTTCGGTATATTACTGTCTATGTAGTGTAAAAACTGTGGGAGGAGTTAGGGTGGTAAATTTGGCTATAATAATAAGAATATATATGTGAGATAACAGTAAGTGGTCTTGCCATGCAAGAACACTTAAATATCTTAAATGGATTTGATAAACACGGTTTCTCCAGGCACTTTAAATAATTTCATGATAAGAATCCAAAAGGTTTCCAGTTCTATGGAATTGATAGAGTATTTAGGAAATAGAGGGGATCAGATACTGTATATGTAGTGACATAGTTTTCCTAAAATGATACTAAGTGAATTTAAATATTAGATACCTTGAGCCCTGCTGGTTTAAATATAGATTTTGATTTAAATTGTTTTATTACCAACTATTATTGCTTGTAGTATTTTATATTACCCTCTATAACGTTGGCTTCCTATTATATTAACTTTTTATTGTTTTTAATTTTTTTATTATGTCTCCTTTATTGTTATAATTTGATTATCATTCTCAATATAATTTTTAATTCATTTTGTGTATAAGTAGTTATGAATGAGTGGTGAATAACTTTATGGCTTTTATGAAAATCAGCCACTATATTCCCAAACTGAAAGGATTATTAGTTATATTTAATGAAGTCTTGAACACATTGCTATCATCACTCCTGACGAAGTCCACCAATGATGAAACATTGTGGGCAAAGCTAAGCAATGTGGTGTCATCCTGCTACAGCAGAATACATATTGAGAAATATAGTGATTATGCTGCTCATCTTAATGCTGGGCTGAGCATACAGAGATTGTGAGTTTGATTGTTTTTTTACAGACTTTCTGTACATTATTTTTCTATATATGAATACTTTTGCACATGAACTGATAAAAATGTTGAACTGTTGATTTGTTATTTTTATTTTGTTCAGTTATTTACTTGTAATATTTGATCTCTGATTATTTATGTTACTTGGCATTTTATTGAAGCATTTTTGTTCATGGTTTATAGGAAGGCATCGCGCTGTATATTATTATTCATTTATTAATCCACAAGCTGCATTCAGCAACATATGCTGCGTCAAACATTATAATCAATTATGGGTAACTTTCACACTGTACATGGCCATGCTGTACTTCATATACGCAGAGCAAGAATAAGGCTGCTTAGGAAGCCACCTTTAGAGCACTAGGATTGGGGGGGGGGGTAAAATCCAAATCTCCAGCCATTTTCTGGGGATTTGGATGTTTAACCACATTAGTTCCAGTGACACTTTAAAATGGTGCTCGGACCATGTTGCAGATATGATTTTAACTCGCTGTACCGGCCGGGAGTGTGTACTTTTGTAAAGCTGACTGTCAGCTTTCAATGTGGAAGTGATACAATCAGCTGTGAAGCCGCTGATCTCTTCCACAACCACTGCAATGTTCTCCTGTTCTCCCCCTGTGCAGCCCACCCACCATGCTCTCCCACCTGCAGGTCTGGTGCCATCATGCAGGTGTCATAGGTAAAGGCAGTTGGAGGTCAAAGGACATCCATTTGCTGAGCCTCCCTCCTGTGCACAGAACAGGAAGTTACGTGTATGATGTCACTTCCTGGACCAGTGCTATCACTGTCCGGGATCAGTGCCTGGGGATGCAGCTGATGGAACATGATCAGCAAAATGCACCTTCGCCTGTGTAGATCAAAATCCTTGCTCCTGATTGGATCCAGTCCCTGTCCAGCTAATTTTTTACCCAGGCCTATAGACAAGAGTTGGCTGAACAATCACCATGATTGTAGCTTTAACTCTTCCTTGCTTTAGCTAGAAAAAAGTTTTGGCTTTAGAGGAACATTAACTGTTTAAATGTTCAGCAGTGCTGGAAACTAGGGATGAGCTCAAAGTTCAGTCTGAATACAAGTTCGGACCGAACTGTTCAGATGTTTATCCAAACACCAAACTTTTGGACTGTTTGATAGAAGCCAATTTTTTTTTTTCATTCGCCAGGAGTTGGAAGTCATTCAATGAGATTGTTGTGGATCTGCATTGTTGGATAGCGTGATTAACGATGGGGGCAAATACCTTAATGGCTTCCCGTCCACCCTATAGCAGATACACTGCTACAGGGTGTCATGGGTGAGCAAAATCATGTATATATATATATGATTTTGCATATCCGGGTAGGGGGCGCCACGAGCCCTACCCGCGCCATCATTCGTGGCCGTCAACGCCAGGTCCTGACCAGTGATTACTCGCCGGCACCCCGTGATTTCCGACGACCTCCGACGGGGAGGAGAACCGTTTTGTTTACTAACAGTTTTCCTCCCTGTCAGCTCGGGCACACTGCTTTGGATGGCTGTGCACAGCACAGCCATCCAAAGCAGTGTGCTTACAGTGAAGCACACTGATACAGCCTCCTAGTAAAACACTCCCAGCACACAGTTAACCCTTTGATTGCCCCTCATGTTAACCCCTTCCTGCCCAGTGCCATTAGTACAGTGTCAGTGCTTTTTTTTTTTAGCACTGATCATTGTATTGGTGTCACTGGGGATGTCAGTGACACCAAGTCAGTTCCCCCCAGTGTCAGAATGCCCACCGAAGTCCCGCTATAAGTCACTGATTGCCACTATTACTAGTAAAAAACAAAAATTCCAGTATCTATACCGCCATTTTTAAATGCTAAAACTTTCACATAAACCATTTAATTTACATGTATAGGGATTTTTTTTTTTAGCAAAGACATGTAGCAGAATACATTTTGTCTTAAATTTGTGATGAAATTAGATTTTTTAATTTTTTACTGGACATGTTTAATAGCAAAAAGTCAAAAATATTGTTTTTTTCTCAAAATTGTCGGTCTTTTTTTTATAGCACAAGAAATAATAAACGTACAGGTAATCAAATACCACTGAAAGAAAGCTCAATTTGTGGGAAAAAAGGACGTACATTTAATTTGGGTGCAGCATTGCATGACCGTGCAATTGTCAGTTAAATTGTTGTTAAAAGGGGCTCCCAGATTTTGATAAGCCCCCTCCCTCTCACAGACCTCCACAACCATGAGTATAAGGTTGTGGGGAAGAGGCCCCTGCCTCATCAACATGGGGACAGGGCTCTTTGTCAGTGGTGTTTCCCCTAGGCAACGCACCCCCCATGTTAAGGGCTTGTTGCCTGGTATGGTTCAGGAAGGAGAGAGCACATACTCATACCCCCCTTATATCCTGGTCTGCCAGGCTGCATGCTTACATAAGTGCCAGGTGTGGATTTTTTGTAGCGACCCCAATTTTTTCTTTTTTTGCATGGTGTCAATCAAGGGTCTAGTATGCATTTTTAGGAACCCTAACACCATTTTTTTTGTTGTGGGGTCCTCCATTAACATTTGGTACATGTCCACAAGGCCCATCCCCGCCCCCTTCCCCTATCAATATAATTTGTTTAACAATCATTATTCTTATTAATATGCAGTTTGTACAGCTTTATAGGTAAAAGACACACAGTGAGCGCTCTCAAAGAAACAGCAGCTGAACATCCATGATAAACGCATATAAAAATCCTCAGTAAAACATACATATAAAAATGCAGCGCTGTAAAATGATCAAATCATGCAAATCAACACAATAATAGTCCTGAAAAGGTGCTCATTAATTCCTAGTGCCAATGGAAAGAATGCAAACTAACCAGAAGCACATTTAAAATACGCATGTGTGTAAGAAATCCTGGAGATTCCCCTCTCTCCCTCTGGTCAGAAAATGGATATGTGCTGAAATGGATGACGGTAACACAGAGAGATACTCACAGTGTAGTATATTACTTCAATTTATTTAAAAAAACCAAGTAAAACATATAATCAGGTGGCAAGTGAAAGCGACCCTCTTAAAATTATAGGTGGCCGCCGGGCCTCCACATGGCACCAGCGGCGTAGTGTCAACGACGTCCACAGGCTCCTCCTGACACGTTTCGTGCGCACGCACTTCTTCTGAGGTAGAGCAAGGACCAGTTTGTACAGCGCTTTACAAAATGAAGGTAGACATTACAGTTATAATACAATTTGGTACAAGAGGAAACAGAGGGCCCTGCTCGTTAGAGCTGGCAATCTAGGAGGAAGGGTTGAGTGATACAAAAGGTAATAGCTGTGGGGGGGATGAGCTGATTGAGGAAATAAATGGCGGTTTACTAGGTAGAGGCAGGATAGACTTCTTTAAAGAGAAAGGTTTTCAGGGATCGTCTAAAGGTGGATAGATTAGGAGACAGCCGGAGATATTCGGGTAGAGAGTTCCGTAGGATGGAAGAAGCTCGGGAGAAGTCCTGGAGGCGAGCATGGGAGGAGGCGACACAGGAACTAGAGAGCAGAAGGTCTTGGGAGGATCGAAGAGAGCGGTTTGGTTGATATTTTGAGACCATGTTGGTGATGTAGCTGTGGGCAGAGTTGTGGGTGGCTTTGTAAGTTGTTGTTAGTATTTTGTCCATTTCATTTTGTAAAGTGCTGCACAAACGGTTGGGTGCTATATAAATCATGTATAATAATAATAATAATAATTTCTTTTTAACATTTGGCTCCAATTTATTTTAATGATGTTTGGATTCGGAACCTGAACTTTAGTCATGTTCTGTGAAACCACCTCTGCATGGGTTACCCCTTCAATGTATGTTCTCACTGCAGGTTGCCAATGTCTACTCTTGATTATGAAGCACATAAATCTGAGAGTGTATCAGTAATCATGGACTGAGTAGAGGATGACATGAAAGAGTACATTCTATACATTCCATGTCAGTGCTAGAGGCCTCTTGATGTCATCCGCCACTGGGATACTGACAATTCCTGGAGATCAAAGTGTACCCTCACACCTATGTAATTAGTGTCTTGCATTGTATTTCACTTTGCTTGTTACAGGACTTTTATGCCTAGTGAGCATAAATAGCTCTGCAGCATTTTTATAGATACATCCTTGATGTTATGGACATTTTTGGGAGCTGTATTAGGTTGTTTGATAGAGCCAAATGGCCCATTCCTAGAACAAGTGCACTGAAAAATTAACTCTACACATATTACATCAGCCCTGCAAAAATAGATGATAGGCATTGAAGAAAACGAGTTGTCTGATCTTTCACCATTCTGTTCTATAAGAGAAAAAGAGAAATAATGTCAGCATAGTAAAAGCTGAATATAATATGGAGCTACACAGTAAGCTCCAGCGGCTGAAATGAAGGGCACAGTATCTTCATTCACTGCACTGAGGCTACATGAATTTTCCACGGGAGAGAGGGATCGGTGACTCATCCCTTTGTTTTAGCAACAGCCGCAGCACAAAGAACAGATAAAATATGCAGCAAGACAGGCAGGATAAAGACGCATGAATCACACTGAATTCTACAAACAAAAAGAGGGCCTGCTTTTATAGGAAGAAATGTTCTGGAAATCCATGCGTGAATATATGAAATGGAATGACTGCGGTTTGCTCCGAAAATATTCTTCCAATATTCTAAAAGAAGTCTTTTATTAATGGTGTCACTGGTTTATGCAGCATTTCCGGATAACATTTTTATATTGATACTCTGGAATGATTCTTATTGCACAATTAAAATTTTCAGCTAACATTTGGAAAATGCCTGCTGTTAGAAAACTATTGTCATTATTATTATTGTTATTATATGCCCATTGCACAACCAGAATGGTTGGGGATGTAACAAATAATGCTAAGTAAATGTCTTAGTAGGCAGTATATGTAGTAGAGAAGTGCGGAGGGAATGAGAGAGTGCAGTATACATAGGAGAGGCGTGCAAGGGGTTTGACAAAGGGAAGTATGTGCAGGAAAGGAGTGCAAAGGGGTGTGACAGGTAGTATATACAAGAGAAGAGTGCAAAGCAGGGGCGGACTGACCATTTGGAAACTCAGGCACTGCTCGAGGGCCCGGGGTCAATAGGGGGCCCCATGAGATGCCCCTGGTACCTTTTTCATAGGCTTTTTTGAGTTTGGGCAAGGACACAGGGGCCCCATTATCCCCTATTGCCCGGGGGCCCCATGAGTTGTCAGTCCACCCCTGGTGCAAAGGTTGTGACAGTGGACAGTATATGCAAGAGAGGCGTGCAAGGGGTTTGACCTTGAGCAGTTTGTGCAGGGAAGGAATGCAAACATTGTGACAGCTGGCAGTATGTATAGAAAAGGAGTATGAAGGGAGTGACCGTGGGAAGTAAATACAGGAAAAGAAGTGCAATGAGTGTGACCAGCGATATATGCAAGAGAGGAGTGCAAGAACTCTGACAGTAGGCAGTATTAGCAGGAGAGGAGTGCAAGGGGTGTGACAGCGATAGTGTGTGCAGGAGAGGAGTAAAAGGGGTGTGACATTGGGAAGTATGTGCAGGAGAAGAGCGCAATGGGTGTGACAGCAGCAGCATATGCAAAGGAGGAGTGTGAGGGCTGGACGGTGGGCAGTAGTGATGGGCTTCATGTTCGAGTCGAATGTAAGTTCAACTCGAACATGGGCCATTCGTGTGTTTACTGAACACATGAATGGTATTAGTGTTCGGCTGGCTCTTCACCCGCCGTGACCACATGATAACCTTACAATGGTGTGGGGGTAACCCCTGTCTGTCAGAAGGTGGGAGCCAGCGTCGAGTGAGTAGTGTTTTTTTTTTTTTTCTTTTTTCGGGTCGGCGGTGGAGGCAGGCATTTTGTTGTTGGATCTACCTCGGGGGACATTTTTAAAATTTTTGTTTTAAATAAAGGACTTGTCAAGAGCCCCCCCATGTTGAGGGCATGTGGCCTGGTACGGTTCAGGTGGGGGAAGCGCTCGCTCGTCTCCCTCCTTTTCTGACCTGCCGGGCTGCATGCTTGGATAAGGGTCTGATATGGATCTTGGGGGGACCACCACAACATTTTAAAAAATGTTGGTGTAGGTGTTCCCCTCAAAATCCATACCAGACCCAAAGGGCTTGGTATGGATGGGAGAGGGGACCCCATGCCGTTTTCTTTTTTTTTTTAATTGTTAGGCAATGCTGACAATTCTTTTCACATTAAAGAATGTTTCACTAATAAAATACTGCATGACTTAATAATAAACCTCATGCGGTATTTTAGTAGCTGAGCGGTATCTTACTGCATATTCAGATGCAGTAAGATACCGCTCAGTAAATTGTCCCTGTTCAAAATTTGCGGTCAAACTTTCGAGTGTTTGCGATTCAAATGTTCGACTGTGAACTGAATAGGGGGGTGTTGGTCCATCACTAGTCGGCAGTATGTGCAGGAGAGGAATGCAAGGGCAGTGATGGTTGGCAGTATGTGCAAGTGAGGAGCGCAAGGGCTGTGACAATGGGCAGTATCTGCAATAGAGGAGTGCAAGGGCTGTGACGATGGGCAGTATGTGCAGGAGAGGAGCACAAGTACCGTGACTGTAGGCAGTATGTGCAGGAGAGGAGTGCAAAGAGCCATGGCAGTGGGCAGTATGTGCATAAGAGGAGTGCAAGGGGCCGTGACAGTGGGCAGTATGTGCAGAAGAGGAGTTCAAGGGCCGTGATAGTGGGAAGTGTGTGAAGGAGAGGAGTACAAAGGCTGTGACGGTGGGCAGTATGTGCAGGAGAGGACTGGAAGGGCTGTGAAAGTGGGCAGTATGTGCAGT